AACAATAATAGTAGTAATAATAATAATGGTGATGATGATGTAAGTTTAAAGAATTTCTCTATTTAATAATTTATTCATTTTCACTTTAGAAATTTAACTTTATATTATTACATCTTCTCCCTATTACAGGATGCTTGTTATAATGATTATAATGATAACGATATTGGAATTGGTGATGAAATTAATTATCATAAATTAATTTTTTGCAATTTATTTTTTTTTACTTTTACTATATAATAATTTTTTTTTATTAAAAATTAGGATCTAGCAACAGCAAAAAAGGAAAAGAAATAGAAAGGGTTGAAGAAACCCATTACAATCTTCGCCCTAGAAGACCAGGAAAAAATTATAAGGATGGTTCTTCAATACATACACCAAAAAGGAAAAAACGTTATCATTATGTAAGTATAAACTGAGTAGACATAACATTACATTTTATTTAATTTTTTTTTTTACTTGTATTTGTAGGAATCACCACCACAGTCACCACCACCACCACCACATATTGATATATCACCATATATGTTGTCATATGAGGTATGTTATATATATAATATTAAAATACAGTTAATTATATTTTAAGATAAATATCAAAAAAAAAAAATTTTTTTTATAGGCATGTGCAGGATGTATAATCCATTGCCCGCGTTAAAAAAAAAGATAATTGTTGAATTAATTAAATAAAATATAATAAAAATTGCTTAATATGCATTATGATTAATTAAATTTACAATAAATGACTAGTAAAAACCAAATAACTTTCAAAATAACTAATACACAATCCCAAGGCTATATGGTGTTTACTTTCGGTGGTTAGAACAATTCTTATGGTTTACACTCAAAACCAACCAGCCTTGAGTTCAAAACTACTTTTACGAAGGAAAAACTCTTAGGATTTATCACAAAACCTGCCTTCTACTGAAACATTTCTGACCGTGAAGACTTACATTCTTTGCCTAAAAGAACTACGGTGCAGATCATCTATAATCATTAATTGCTTATTGCTATTTAATTAAAATACAAATTAATAATAAATGAAATTTTTTTACACCAAGCTTGTCTTCCTTAACTGCCGGTAAAATAATATAAAATAAGCAAGATTGATGTGAAAAAATATAAACAATAGAAGTAATTACAGTAATGATAAATAAATGTTATTATTGGTTGTTGTTGTTTTGTAATTTATGTTTCCAGAATTAAAAAAAATTCCGTTGTCTTTTTAATAATTTTTCGTAGTAATAATAAAATATCTAAATATGATAGGTCAATATCATCTTGTGACACTTGAGTACTCGTGAGTACTCATGAGTGCAGATCTTTCTATTAATAGTATGATCTACGAGTACTCACGGTACTCGCGGTACTCACGTTACTCACGAGTATCCGGATTATAGTGCGGATCATCTATACTCAAAAGTTAAAATTTTTGAAATATTATGTGATCCACACATTGGATTTTAAAAAACTTA